AGAATAAATATGTTTAATTCCGATGCAAAGACCCTATAAGTGAATCAATATTAAAGCCAAAATATGCAATCTTTAATGACCTGACAACAGTATCGTAACTATATCCCTTCTTAATAAGTCTGTTTAAAGGTTTTGTTAGCTTTTGAGGTGAATACTGACATTTTTGTGCTTTGTAAAGAATATTACCATAAAAGATTGGATGTGAAATACCCGAACGTATAAGATGTCTGCATGTTGAGTTATATTAACGAATGATGTCCTTATACCGATGATGAAATTGAGTAAATGTTTTGACTAGTTTATGATATCGAAAACCCTGTTGTAATAATTTTTCAGTAATACATAAATTTCTCTCGCTAAAACCTAATACGTTGTTACATACACGAGCGAATCGTACAAGTGGAGATATATAAACACCATAAGATGGTGACAAGGGAACGTCACCATCTAAAAATGGATAATTAACGATAGGAAATTAAAAATCATCTCTTTTATCATAAATTTTTGTATTAAGCTTCCCGTTAATGATATAGATATCAAGATCGAGGAAAGGAAAGGACAGTGGTCATGATATCGAAAACCCTGTTGTAATAATTTTTCAGTAATACATAAATTTCTCTCGCTAAAACCTAATACGTTGTTACATACACGAGCGAATCGTACAAGTGGAGATATATAAACACCATAAGATGGTGACAAGGGAACGTCACCATCTAAAAATGGATAATTAACGATAGGAAATTAAAAATCATCTCTTTTATCATAAATTTTTGTATTAAGCTTCCCGTTAATGATATAGATATCAAGATCGAGGAAAGGACAGTGGTCATTGTTAGTATTAACTTTATTTAAAAATCTAAAGTAAGTTCAACAGGATAAATTTCTTTAGTATACATACTGAAGTCGTCATTATTGAGAGCCAATATATCATCCAAATATCTAAAAGTATTGTTAAAACGCAGATTTTTGACATTGTCACTACCAGCTATGTTAAAGATTGGTTCATACAACAAAAAACGAGGTCGGTGACTATATGGTTATTTTGTATCATTACATATGAGCTGCATCGGATAGAAACCGACCTTATGCAAGTACATGTATTGACTTTGATTGATTTTGGAACATTCAAATACGAAAAGGAGGATGAATTTGTTGGCTGTTTTGTAGGGTTCTTATATCAAATCAATTTCCTCACAGTTAATGACTTTGCATAGAGATTTTGCCAAACCGAAATAGGCTAACAGATGTATTGATATTCATTTCCATAAGGTCGATTTCATTCTGACGCAGCTCATTTACTGAGCGATTGTCCCATCCCGCTCTTACTGTATATATAGTCTTTTTTTTAGATTTTAAGTAAAGTGGGACAGTTCATAGTATTTTATGAAGTGCCGTATATATATTCAGCACTACAGTTCTCCAGATGGTGAACAACAACAATATCAACAACAACAACAACTTAAATATACGGGTCCGCAGCTATATATTTTCCAGATTGCTTTTAGAGATAACAAAAGCTAAATACTCCTCGAAAATGACCGATTTCACATACACGACAAAACAATGCATGCATTTAATACCAGCTTTTCTAATCTCGAATATCTTTCAAATTGGTTTACAAATTTCTGAGTAACCAAATTCAAAGTCTGTCAGGGAAAGAGTTATAGTTATCGATGGGATAACGGATGACTATTGTCAGGATAACGATTAGGGTTTATCAGAGTAACTGTGTAAGGATCACTGATAATAAAAGGGATAGGATTTTTGTCAGGACAAAGTTAGGGTTATCGATATAATCAGGATGAGGGTTATCGCGAAGGAAAGGGTTTGAGATATTATTAGGGTAAAGATAAGAGTCATCGGTAGAATAAGGGTTAGGTTTTTTGTCAGGAGTAGTGTTATGGTTATCGATAAGATCATATTAAACACATTCTATACAATATAAATTCATATCGCGAATAAGATTTCAGAAACAAACAACAAAACTTAGTGCTTATATTAATCTATGAAGTCCCTACTACATGCAAGTTATTTGTCACCAGAAATAACATTTTTTTATTCAAAGAACTAAACTTCAGTCAAATAATGAAAATAAACATTGTTTATAAAGCTTAGTTTCGTTTCCTTTAGTTTGTATGTCACTGTATAATACACAAAATATCCTGATTGATGCGTTTTACAGAAGTTTGGCAATACATCTTTAAAACTTGTTTTTTTGTTTTATTATCTGTTTCCTTTGAGAAAATTGGGAGTGATCTAATAATGTATCGCTGATAAATGCTATTAAGTGGAAAATAGCTTTCTTAGGGTTTTCTACCCCCAGACAAACAGATTTGACGAGTCGGAAATTAAAGCAGTAGATATGTATAATCAAAGTACTGAAGTACTGAACATCGGATGACCGCAGGTTCTTGTGTATGGTCAAAAGCACATGTCACAGAAACAGATCACATCTCTATATCTGAAACTGAGGTTAATTTACAGAGATTTTTTTTTCTGATACAAGTTCCTGCTTGGATGATGAATAAATGACAGGAAATGCAACCTCACCGTAATAACTATTATATTGTAGTGATTTAAATCAGTATACCTTAGACTATTATACTAATATAATAATAGTTCCAGAGAATACACTGTTTTGTTGTTATATATTATATTAATATTACGGTTGCATGTATATATAATTTTCATCTATTTGTATATCATTCTATTCTACTATTATTATAGTGCAGTGCAAGTGCATGGTGGACACTCTTCTGTAAAAAAAAATCAAAGCCTTAAAGGCTGTAAAAGCAATTGCTGCCATGTTAATGCTTTGTAGACATTTATTTTTCATCCATATATATAAGAATTAAACCTGACAGGACAGGAGTGTTGACTAGTGAGAAGCAAGACGGTTTTAACTTTATATCAATAAAAGACTTTAGCAGGAAATCATTTTTAATATGTTTTATATTTCACAAGGAGACAACAAGTTTACCAGGCTAAAGTTGGGGTTAATTATACATGTGCTGAAACATATAACAAACAAAAAAATCAATATGGATTGTCCCCTGGTAGTGTTTGTAACTGGGCAATAATTTCCTTTATTGATTTAATTTTAACAATTTTCATAACTAATTCAAATTAACCATTCAGTTAAAACATTTCAACTTTCCAGACGTAAATGTTGAAAAACGGGCAAGAATTAAATATCTTACAAGACATAAATATGTAAAAAATAAAAATATATTTCAGCTTACTAAAAATATTTTCATAATGTTACTTTGACATCATTTCTTAAAACTAAGTCCCAAACATAATTGCTCAGTTGATATGTGTCATCCTCATGCGATACGAGATAACTATAATTCTCATGCAATCCCGAAAAGGGGGGTCATCACAAACAAACATGACATTAAATTGTCATTATACGAACTAGAACAAACAGCTCTATGTTGCTTTGATATTTATCAATTTTCAGGAAACATGTGAAATAAATTTCAGGTCCATTTCATTATAGTGCCTAACAAGATTGTGTGAGGTAGACGAAATTGACCTTAAAACGATCGTATTGTCTTTCGATGTCCAAAAATAGGCAGATCGGACATATAAGGACTTTATCTAATGACTACATAAATTTGGGATTTATTATTATTATAATATTCTAATGAAACTGAAAATTGTATTTTTTTGTTAGGATAAACAACAATTTTACCTGGCGTAGCCGTGCATAAAATGTTTTTCTGCGAAAAATGGCGTATTTAATGGAATAGAACGTTAATTCAGTAAACTTTCTCTTTTTTCTCCGCAATAGGCTATCAAAAATAATTTATCTAATGTGTATGTGGAAAATTATGTGAAAAGATAAAAAGTGGCACTTGTTACCTTTCATACCTTAAGTTTCATTCATATGCCGCAATTGTATCTGATTTTATGCCCTTTATGGGCCCTGTAATTTGGAAAATAAAAAAAAAAATCTATTCATTGATAAAACGTAATATGGACTGGTCCAGTGTCCAGTTTGCAGGTCATTTAATTTACTGTACACATTCATGCACGCTCTGATTTAATCGATATACTCGTACGAAAAAGCATGAACAGTTTGAAGGTAATCTAATAATAACTTAATCCAATCAAATTGCATAAGATTCAATAACAATGTCCAGTCCACATCATAATGAGTAATAGGGGTAAACTTGGTAGGGAGAAAATGACAGATATTTCAAGTTAATATTTATGCAATAACGAATTAAAATTTGTCAACCAAAAGTTTTGTTACAATTTCAAAAACATGTCGTTCTGTATGGGTATAGTTTTCGGATCTTTCATTAGCGTATTTAAGGCTATAAAAAGTTTGGGCTTCAAAAGTTCACACAATTATTGACTTTATACAGAAAATTCGTCCTTGTAAAACATTTAATAGTTCACAAATGATACGCGATTTTAAAGTAAAATTATTTCTTAAAACACTGCAAAAATTTCATTCCTATTGATAAAGTGGTATCGTCATAAAGTGCGTTGAAATGAACAGTGGTATAGCAAACATCGAATTTCCTCACAAAATGTTATCACACACTATAGTAAGGGGAGTCAGTTAAGTTTGTTTATTTTTAGATTACAGGTAATCATTTGACATTACGTATACAACCTGTGTGACCTGTGTAGTGATTTTGATTTCACGATAAATTCATGAATGAATGAACGATAATTTATGAATGAACATGAGCACCTGACCTCTTTCTTAAACACCAATTAAACATATAAAACCGTATTTAAAAGGAGATAATTCAGTCAAATTTTCAGTACTAAATCAACAACTGAAATGATTCCATTTTTTTATGAAACATCGTACGAACGGAAAACGGAATCGCAGGTATAAAAATGCACTTTTTTCCCTTGTAATGACCGCGGATCTATAATTTTTATAGATCGGTTGAAATCCCAAAACTAATTTGCATAATGGAAATTTAGGTGATAGCAATACATCGGAATGACCTGAAGGTCATCCTCTGTAAAAAGGCTTTTGGTGAAGGAATGATGAAATATCTCATTGTAGTTTTTACTAGAAGAGATGAATTGGATACAAATGGTATGACAATTCAGGGCTATGTGACAAAATTTAAAAAGGATCAGAAAAATTTTCTTGCCAGTTGCGATAATCGTTATTTTGCTATCAATAACATTGCACCAGATGCAGGAAAAGAAACACAAGCAAACGACTTAATCAACATGATTTTCGAACTGGAGAAACAAAACAAAGGAAAGATTTACCAAAATGAAGAGTTTGACAACGCAGAGAAAGAACTCGAAAACAGAATACAAGAATTGCATAATAAATCCCCTACCAGTGTTGAAGAAATGTCTATCTTGAGAGCATCGCTGCGTCGCGAAATTACAGAGGGGTCTATTTGGTCTAAAGCAGTTCTCGGAATACTTGTTGCGGGTGGTGCTGGTCTAGTTGGGGCAGTTGCACTATATTTTGCAGGGCCTTCTGCTGTGGTAACTGGTATAGCTGCTATTTTGTCAAGTGTAACAAAGTTTTACCCGAAATGACTCTAAAACATTTAATCGCAATTTAAGGATAAACGGAGTTTTGGATACATTATGACATGCATGTACGTAATTGCAATCTTTAATAATCAATTTTCATTAATGTATGCAATAAATACTTAGCAGAACATACAGAAGAGACGTCACCATGACGACACGATTTGGTTGACCGATACGACGAATCTGTAATTCAACTTTCTATCGACACGACATGATTTGGCAGTCGTAAAGATACCAGTATAGGCGTCTTATCTATAATTTAACCGATTGTGTCCATTCCCAACTGTGATATTTTAACTGGTTGTGGATTTGCTTGACTATCGATGCATGTACCGCAGGAGACGCCTTCCCTGTCGACAATCTCTGTCTTGGTCCTTTTGAGTTCATACGACCCCCTTTGAGTTTTTTGTCAACTGGATTAGTGTCTCCTTAATCAATTTATTGGTATACTACTGTTGTCTAAATTCAGAAGAGGAATGCAAAATAGGTATCCAGATAACACTACAAATATGAAAATATTAAAAGTAAAAATATAAGTTAACTCTCAAAGAAGGAAACACCATTATCTAAGGTTAAGGGAATGCCGGGTTGAGCGCTCACAACCATAATTAACCCCGTCACATTCTTTATGTGCATGTCTCAAAGCTAGAGCCTATAATTCAGTGGTTTTGTTTGGTTGCTGTCTGCCATACTTGTTTTTCGTTTATTGGTTTTAGCATAAATGAAACCGTTGGTTTTTCTCTTTTGAATTATTTCATATTTTGTCATTCCAGGACCTTTTAAAGCATACTATACGGTACGCGATTTACTCATCGTTGAAGGTTGATAGTTCAACTTGTACAAAATGTATCATTGGCAATCAGACAACATCTACATATTTAAAAAAAGAAGACGTTTACGATTATGGGACACATGCACAATTAAATCGCAATTACATTAAAGCTAATTCTTAGGTCAATTCAAAATCACACTATTTTCCATCTTAATCTAAATGCACCGAAATTGGGTTAATTTTTCCTCTGAACATGCGATATTTAATTATATTGCCTCGTTGTAAGAGTCATTACCGCTTGTATAAAATAAAGTCGGTAAACTTTAAACACGTAGGAGAATATTTCCACGATTTTACATTGTATATTGACTCGAACATGATAAGGGTCGACTGATTCGTGATATCGATTGATTGGTTTAATCTTTATTGCATAAGCAACAACATTGATGCAGCAAAATAACAATGTGTTACAGTTTGTAAAATCCCTGAAATATTCAGAAATTTTGAAAAAATCACAAGCAGTGTTAGTAATTTTGTAAAATACCTGAAATTATAAGTTTTATAAAATCAGTGAATATAGTGCTAGCTTTGTAAAATCCCTACTTTAAACCATATAAATGTCATGAATGTGTTAGAAATGTATTTTTTCTAATAAAGAATAATATGTTCAAGGTATCTATTTTAACATACATAACCGGTTTACCCCCTTAAATACAGTGAGTGATTCTGGATAAAAGACATGTCGCCAGTTACAAAGTTTCAAATCACCGTAACTAATTCTGCATGATAAAATTTGGATGACGTCACAATTACCATGCACCTAACCCAAGCCTATTTTCTTCACAGTTTTGTTTGCAGAACAACCACATTTCAAATATTCTAATAAATGATGTCCAACACAAATAGCAGGTAATTTAACTGCTTGACAAATATAAATTATCCTGCGATTCATGAAAATACAGGAACAAGTCTGCTACTAAAGGGGCACAATTGGTACCCATAGGAAAACCTACAACCTGTCGATAGACTTATTTCAAAAAACAAAACGCTTTGTGAGTACTTGAATTTTGTTTTGTCCTAGAAATTGGCGTATTTCTTACCCTTTAATTGATTTCTTAATTATTTTCGAAATGTGATATGCGAATATCAACAATATTCAGACATTTTTTTTTAAATAGGAATCAAGTGACTTTTTGTCAGATTTCTCCCATTCAAACAAATTTTTACAATAAGATGAAAGAGTAAACATATCACATACTATTATGAACAAAGGCAAAAAAAAACACAGAAATAAAGACAATTTTTATGATATTCTGTATATTAATATCTTATTAAAACTGTATAGACGTGATGTTTTATGTGATTTATAGAATTAATAGTTTAAACCAGATTTCCTGTGATAAAATATCCCGGAAATGAAAGCTTGTTACGATGAGTAAAATGTACATATTGGACAAATTTATGACAATTTGCTTATAAAATTAATTTTAACAACATGGGAAATAAACTGGAAAAGTTACCAGAAAAAGAAGTTCAGTTCCTGCGCATGCATACAAATTTTGACAAAACAAGAATTAAAGAGTCATATAAAGAATACCTGGTAAGTTCGACAAATCTGTATGGTTAAAACGCAATTTTAAAGATAAGGATATCCCTTCGTTGCTATGTGCTATGCATTTTTATGATTTGTTTCTTTTGTTAAGGGTATATAAATCGAAAGTTAAAGATTGCAAATTGGTCGCTGTTGATTGTATTCATCATTTGGAGAGAAAAATGGACGCAGGGGAGATAACAAATCAATGATGTATACAAATGTTCTAGTATCGGAAAATAAACAGAACTACAAGGAACAAAACTTTTCTATTTTGAATTAGTTCACACTTTGTCATGCCGGTGCCTTTTATAGCTTACTAAACGGTATGGGTTTTGTTCATTGCTGAAGGTCGTACAGTACATTATAATTGTTAACATCCTCATCCCTTGGTCTCTGGTGATTTAATTTAGTGTAATTGGCAATAATAACATGCGTCTGAATTTTTTTTTGTTTTGTTCATGGAGGTCATTTTAAATTTCATTTTGTTTGCAGAACTCAAAATACACACAAAGGGAAATGAAACCGTCAAATTTAGTATAAAACAGCCCTGGAACCCTTGGGTGAATTAAGTGGAAATGAATTGGTGCTATTTTTTTGGTGCTATTTTTTTTTTGTAATAGAGAGGCGAAGGTTCAAACTCAAAAGTCGAAAACAGACTGGCAATGCCATGGCAAAAAAACGAAAAAAGACCAAATAAGACACTACACAAAACACAACTTAGAAACCCAAAGACTGGACAACACGAACCGCACCAAAAACCGGTGGTGATCTCAGGTGTAGATCATGCTCCACATCTGGCACCCGTCGTATTGCTCATGTCAGTATAAAATCGGTGATAAGTCTAATTCGGTAGGTCACAATCGAGGAAAAGAGGACGTAAGAGTTTTATAGATAGAAGGAAAAGCGAGGTTCGTAGAGCTCTTCTCCTGTTCCGAAACAAGAGCATTTTCTAAAGATGTAACTTTATTATTGTTTTATCGTGCAATAAATATTAGGATTGGCTCTTTGTCAGTTGTTGCCATTGATTTTGTAAGAAAACTGTAATGCTTAGAGTCATGAAGAGGACACTAAAATGAAATGTTACATGAGCAGTTACTAATTGTAGTTAACCGCGATCGCTCATGGAAGAAACAGGAGACAATATTTGAGTGTACTATACTAAACGACTATCTCATTAATTTATTTGTATACCTGTTTTTGTATGTATCAAAATGGATAATTACTCGAAAAAAGTATATTGACTGTACTTGCAGAAAATATCACCGAAAGCCTTGATGGGTCTCTCGACATTCAAAGAATACTTGAGACAGTTCTTCGGTGATGAAGCTGACAGTTTTGCACACCACTACTTCAGAGTGATTGATAAGGACAACAGTGGCAATATAAATTTTGCAGAGTTTTTACTGTATTTGAGCAATGAAAGTGATCCCAATATTTTCTGTAAAATCAGGTTGATGTTTGAATTATTCGATATAGACGGGGATGGCAGGATTGAAAAGAAAGAAATGGCAGAAATATTTAAGGTATATTATGTGATTAGAATATTATATTCGTTCTGTTATGATAACTTTATCTAAATGAGGTGGTAGGTCTCTTTTACCCACGGAAGTACCTCGTTGTAAACATGTGCGCTGACAATTTCAACTTGTTAACTTATTTGTAAATTTTGTCTTGCTGATCATTTGTGCTGTTTGCCGTTTCTCTCTATCTTCTACAATGTTTGCCAAAAAACGTTACAAAAGGGTAAAACTCGTTGCATAAGGACAATATGACTCCTGTAAAGAGTTGACAGACAATTTCGGCTGTGTTGAAATTGAAAATGGAAACGGGGAATGTGTCAAAGAAACAACAACCCCACCAAAGAGCAGAAAACAGCCCAAGGCCACCAATGGGTCGTCAACATAGCGAGAAAATCCCGCACCAAAGGCGGGCTTCAGCTGGCCCCTTAAAAAATGTATACTAGTTCAGCAAAAATGGACGTCACACTTAACTCCGAAATATATAAATGAACCAAAATTAAAAAAAAACACATACAAGACTAACAAAGGGCAGAGGTTCCAGACTTTGGACAGGCGCAAAAATTGCGGCGGGGTTTAACAAGTTTTGTGAGATCTCAACCCTCCCCTATACCTCTAGCCAATGTAGTACAAACAAACACAAAACAATACGCACAGAAAAACTCAGTTTAAAAAAAGTCCGAGTCCGATGTCAGAATAAGTAACAGAAGAAACTAAGCAAAATGACAATGATACATAAGTTAACAAAGGACTACTAGCAGTTACTGACATGCCATCTCCAGACCTCAATTAAACTGATTGAAAGATTATGTCTTCATCATATAAAAATCAAGCACAATCCCTCCCGTTATGGGTTTAGTATCATACCATCATAAAATATACGAGAAGAGCATAACCCGTATCATGCCAACAACTGGTTTTAGAATAAATGTGTTTTGACCTATTTGTAGATCTTGTCTTGTTGATCAATTTGCTGTTTACAGATTTTGTTTATCTACTGGGCGTATTACATTTGCGCGACTTTAATCTATTTTGAACATACTCATCCATTCTCGTCCAATTGAAAATGAGTACTGTTGTTTGTCTAATTATTATAAATGAAAACAGGAGAAAAGAACTATAAACGCATTTTAAGTTGAGATTTCAATAATGTAAACGTTATATAATGGTACATATATATAGCACAAACAAAAAGAAAAGAATTGAAAAGGGACCAAAGATGAAGGTAAATAAAATAATATTTAATCTAATTTTTATACGAGACCTTAAAATCATTGTTTTTTTTTCTCAAGAAACAATGACTGTTGATATAAAAATCAATGAAATTCTAAAATTACAATCGTTTCGACATCAGATGCTTACTTTTTTATCGATGAATGTATTATTTTTTTTCAAAAACTTATACAATTTTAGAAAAGCCGATTTATATAGCATTGTAAGATTTTTAAAATGAAGGAATTTTAGATATATAAGTATTAAATTGTACCTGAAGCAGAAGAAATCTTCATTTTTTAATAATCTATCTTTTTTTGTTATCACAAAACTATCTCATTGCTATAGCATTCCATCTGTTGAAATTACCATTACATATGATTTACATCCCTTTTACTAACCTTGTTAACATTTAAAGTGAGCTAATATTAAGGATTGATTTTTACAATGGGAGAGGCTAATTTTGTTATGCCACTCGAAGGGGTGAATATGTTCTAAATTGGTCAGACAATACTTGGTTATGTTTTATGAACATTTAAAAACCCTCGGCTACGCCTCGGCTTTTAATATTCTTAAAACATGACCAAGTATTTAATCTTACCTATACATATCTACCTGTATTTAACATGCTAGTAAATACAACTCACTGTTAAGTCGTATTATATATTTTATACTGAGCAAATATCAATTCAATTTGTTGGTGTAATTTTGACCATAAAACGTTTATGACTATCTACCACCATTATGTCTGGGACCTCTGCTATATAAAGCAATCTGACTAGTACCCTTGGCAGGGACGAAACAGCTTGTAAATTAACTTTTTTTTAAATCCGCGCAAATGTTATGCAAATCCGCGCATATGTGATGCATCGTATCTGCTATATTGATTGATTGATTATTTGGTATTTAACGCTACTTGTGCTATTTGGTGGCGGTAAGTTTTTATTGTGGAGGAAGCCGGCGCGCCCGGAGAGAACCACGGACCTTCGATAGGAAAACTAACAATCAATCCTAGTCAATTAAAATTTGAGTCGAGCGCACCTGCTACTTGAGGGATTCGAACTCACAACCTCAGTCTTGACAAGGTAGTGATACAGTAGTACGACTACTTGGACCACTCGGCCACCGAGGCCCCGTTATCTACTATAGTATTCACCTTAAATGTAATAAATCATCAATATAATGACTAGAAAAAGTGCTATAACACCTTTCAAGATACTTATTGCAGCATTCTTACTAGTTAAAGTGGTGTAAATACTAACATAAACTAAAATTTTGGTAGGTGGATATAAATACCATGGCTAAGAAAAAGTGTTATAAAATCTTTTCAAATAAATGCTTTTCTTTCAAGATACTTATTTCAGCATTATAACTAGTTAAAGTGGTGTTTATGATATCATAAACTATACTTTGACCTATAAGGGTAGGGGGTCAATTTTCCATGGTAGGGGATCAAAATACCATGGCTATATTAAAAGTATTATAAAATATTTTCAAACATATGTTTTTCATTCAAGATACTTATTGCAGTATTAAAACTATTTACAGTGGTGAAAATGCTATTGTATTAAATAAACATTTTGACCAATTGGGAAGGGGGATTAGTTTTCCATGGTAAGGGGGTCAAATATCTTATATTGTGCTGTTACATGTACACCACAGTCCCAGGTTTGGGACAGGGTTGGGCGCTCACAAACATGTTTAACCCCTTCACATTCTTTATGTTCTTGTCTCAAGTCAGGAGCCTGTAATTCAGTGGTTGTCATAGGTTTATGTCTGTCATATTTGTTTTTCGTAAATTGTATTACTAGTATTATAAATAAGGCTGTTAGATTTTTCTCTTATTTATATTGTTTCACATTTTTCATGTCTTTAATTGCTGACTACACGGTATGGGTTTTCCTCATTGTTGCATGCCGTACGGTGACCTTTAATTGCTTATCCACGTCATCTGAAATCTGGTGGATAGTTCAACTTGGCTCATTGGCAATCATACAGCATTTCCTTATTTTTATAAGGGTATAAAAGTAAGATGATTCTAGCATTTTTCTCTATTTCTTTTGAAACTATGATGACTACACTGAAATGGCGAACAAAAATTATCAGAAATACACGATCTAAAATTGACATTACGACTGAAACCATAATTATGTGTGACTCCCTATAGATGTTACAAGTAATTAAATTGATGGCGGTAATGATGAATAAAAGGATATGGTATATCAATTCATGAACAAATTACTACACGCAGAGGAAAAGCAAAGTTATAAAATTGAGAATGGAAATGGGGAATATGTCAAAGAGACAACAACCCGACCAAAGAGCAGAAAACAGCCGAAGGCCACCAATGGGTCTTCAACACAGCAAGAAAATCCCGCACCCGGAGGCGGGCTTCAGCTGGCCCCTAAATACTAGTAAAAATGTGTACTAGTTCAGTGAAAATGGACGTCATACTAAACTCCAAAACATATAAATGAACTAAAATAAAAAAAAACATACAAGACTAACAAAGGGCAGAGGCTCCTGACTTGGGACAGGCTTAGTATTTTATTGCTACTCTTCCTCTCAGTACGGTCTTCAACACAGATCAACAACTCTCGCCTCACTGCAAGTTTAAGATGGCTCCTATAACTGATTTTCCTGTACCTTCAAAAATATTATACACTGTAGTCAGACACAACATGTAAGTAGCAAACATGATCATCAATACACGATCCAATTAAGCCACATGATCAAAACTGAAGTTATTGCCCTTGAATAACTATTTTAACTCATGAATTGCATTTAGTTTGAAATGTATAATAAATTCACTACTAAAAGCTCTGATCCAAATAAGATAAAATAGACATGAATACTTCGTAGTGTGTTTAGGTCTAACATTTAGTTGTATTTTGATCTAACAAGCAACATGGTCGTAATATCACTAATTATAGACGATTTAAAGAACATAGGGTTGATAAGCCAAATAGTTTCAAACATCTTGAACCTGTAGAGGATTGGGAAAATCTGACGTGTGCTAAAATGGCCATAAAGTTTATCACAACTGTAAATGCATTAACAAAGTCAATTGTCATTACGATTTCTATTAATAGTGTAATTGCTTGTATTTTAGTGATGATTTTTATTGACATTCAGCGTTTTTATATTAAAAAAACAGCTTTCATATATTTACATGACACAAGACCGCCAAATATTAGTATTAATACTTTTGCATTTTGTCTCCCATTTTTGCCCTAGGCCTCCCAACTGCTTGTTTTAAAGGACAAAATTGGAAAATCGACCGCATTTGTACTTACTCAAGGAGCTTCATGTTCAAAGGGGACATAAAAAGATCAACCAAATCCAACTTAGGTCAACTTTGCCTGAGTGAGTTCGAACCTTTTTTCCTTAAGCAGTTCTAAATTTATCAACGGGGAATTTTAGAAGAAAGTGTTATAAATCATTTCAGTACCGAAAAAAACTTACTAATGAGCTGATGATACCATCAGGGACTATAGCAGTTCACCAGCAGTAGTACCGACTCAGTGCTAGACAATGAAAATAACACTACGCCTTTATAAATATACGTAGTGCGCCCGATGTGCTTTTCTTGCCTAATTTTCATCAGGAACGCTCAAACTTAAAAACATTGAAACCTAAGGATGTATAAATACACGAATACGTCAGGAGCTATGTGACCAAAAGGAAGTGCCAAGACTTTAACATCCTATTCATTTAATTACAGTTTTGAAGGGATTGAAGAATATTCTAATATTTAAAATATCGTCATTTGAGTAACAAAATTCCGCCTCCTTTATTTCCATATCGTTTGATCTGTCACGTCTCAAAAACAACCCTCGTTAATTTTGAAGAAATCAGTGTACTCCATCACTTGCAGGAGACGTGTACCATGTTATACAAGTCATACTTAGATGTATTAGTCCGTTTAACAGTTATATACAATTAAAAATATTAATTTGCATATAAAAATCACTTGTATTTTCATTAAATATAATTCGATATCAATCTCCAAACATGCTTGTCTCCTTTCCAGATTGCATTAAAAATGACAGAAGAAGATAAAGAAGATGGGTTAGCTGCACATAAATTAACACAAAAATTATTTGAAGATTATGATAAAGGAAAAGAATTTCTGACACAAAATGAATTCACTGACATGTTCCTTGAAAACAGGATTCTCTTTAAAAACTTTCCTGTTTTAAGTAGTACCTTGTTTACCGAAGTGTGTATGGATCCTAATAAATGATTTAATGTTTAAAATTAATGTTAAACCTTTCCTGCTATACATGTGGATAATGTTTGTTTACATCAAATCATATACATTGTATATAATTTTTTTGTCTTCACAAAAGGATTAAAGAAAATAAAATTTAATTATAGGTTTCATTACGAGTTAAAATTGGATATCGCTTGATATCAACAGATGTTATTTAATTTCAGCATGATAATAATAAACGAGGTTTCGTGTCGAGAATACCACTATCATTGAAATTAAAGAACGAGAGTTGATATCAAGCGATATTTGATTATCACAAGTTGTTGAACCTATTTCTCTTATGGTAAAAAAAACCTCTGTTGATATAATTCCGATTTCGCAAGCTTCACCTAAAATATAAATTATAGTGTGATACTAGAAATATATCTTTGTGCGGGAAATAGATTAAAAAAACAACCATAAAAGAAGTGGTTTTATATCTAGAAGTATATGGATTTTAAAATCTGACACTAGTACACGAGCTAAAGAAAAAGTTAAATCTCAAGAGTTAATTCTTTCCGGGATAGTGAAAGAACACATTTAAAATTTATAAAATATAATTGTTTAAATTTGATTCGTTGAATACTAATTAAAAATAAGTTAAATGAAATGGCAATTTGGTTTTAATATTTGAACATGTTTATTTCGAAACTTACAATTTTATTGACAAATGGAGCATATTTTTCATGCCGGAGTCTTTTATAGCCGACTACACGGTATGGGTTTTTTTCATTGTTGAAGGCCGTACGGTTGCCTATAATATTGCTTACATCCATTTCATTTGAACTTTGTTGGATAGTTGTTTCATTGGCAATCATACCACATCTTCTTTTTTTATATTTACTGCAGGGTTTGTTACTCGTGCTGTATACATGTAGTAAAATGTGTCCCCATGCCCGTAGCGTATGCCCTTATATTTTACAGTTAGGGGTTTTAGCGTGTGAGAGATCTGTTTACATGGTCCAACGTTTGGTCTCCTGTGGGAAGTTGTCTCATTGGCAATCATATCACATCTTCTTATTTTTATATTTACATCATGGTTTGTTACTCGTGCTGTATAAATGCAGTAGAAAGTGTCCCCGTGCCTGTAGTGTATGCCCTTATGTTTTACAGTTAGGATTTTTTGCGTGTGAGAGAGCTGTTTACATATTCCAGTCATTAGGTCTCTTGTGGATTGTTGTTTCATTGGCAATCATACCACATCTTCTTAATTTTATATTTACCTCAGGGGTTGTTACCCGTGCTGTATAAATGCAGTAGAATGTGTCCTCGTGCCTGTTGTGTATGCCATTCTATTTTACAGTTAAGGTTTTTTTGCTTGTTAGAAAGCTGTCTACATATTCCAGTCATTTGGTCTCCTGTGGAGAGTTGTCTCATTGGCAATCATACCACATCTTCTTATAATTTATAATTGCGTTCAGATTTCGAAAATGTGACCTTTACTCGGGAAAAAAAGATTCAGACATTTTGATCCAAAAGTATCAAAAGGAAAAGGGCAACGTCTTAAGAGGTTAATTTTTACCACATGTCAAAATGACAATTTTAACATTCTTTATTTTTATACTTTTACAGAAAAAAAATGTAAAGCTAAATAAATTTCAACAGAACCGGGATCTATATTAAATTTTATTAACTTGTGAAAATATTTTGTTTTAGAATTAAAATCTATCTATATTAAAAATATAAAACAAGATATCAGTACAGTTGACTTATTATTTTACTATAGAACCCTATGGGATTTTATTTTTTAAAATTTTCAAATGATTATAAATTGAAAACCGTTTGTGATAGACAATCTTTTTAATTGAAAATGTTCTAAATGATAAAGCACATTAAATGAAATACAGGGTGGGTCCCCAGGGGTCATCCCCACCCCCTGCCATTTAAGAAACTTCTAATATCTTGTAAATGGTCGAGATCCCCACCCCTAAACCATATATATTCTGGTTTGTCATGCTAAGATGGTTTGAATGATATACAGGGCTAGTCCCCAGGGGTCATCCCGACCCCCTGCCATTTGAGAAAGTTCTAATATCTTGTAAATGGTCGAGATCCCCACCCCTAAACCATATATATTCTGGTTTGTCATGATAAAGCACATCAAATGAAATACAGGGTTAGTCCCCAGGGGTCACCCCCACCCCCTGCCATTTAAGAAAGTTCTAATATCTTGTAAGTGGTCAAGATCCCCACCCCTAAACCATATATATTCTGGTTTGTCATACCAAGATGGTTTGAATGATATACAGGGTTAGTCCCCAGGGGTCATCCCGACCCCCTGCCATTTGAGAAAGTTCTAATATCTTGTAAATGGTTGAGATCCCCACCCCTAAACCATATATATTCCTGTTCATCATGTCTCGAACATTTGAATGACGTATAGGGTCAGTCCCCAGGGGTTCCCCCCACCCCCAATGTTCTAGTATCTTGTAAATGGTCGAGATCCCCACCCCTAAACCATATATATTCTGGTTTGTCATGCCAAGATGATTTGAATGATATACAGGGTTAGTCCCCAGGCATCACTAATGCATATAACTTTACTGGACCAAACCAATTTTCACTGGACTTTGTCCAATGTCAGGCGACCCTGGGAATTACGAATTATGGGAGCTTCGTTTGGGAGGCTTCGTAACAGCATCCTGTTATAATCATTTCTTGTTATAGTTTGTTCTTATGTTGTGCTTATGTTACACCACTTTTCCAGGTTAGGGGAAGGGTTAGGCGGCTATAAATATGTTTTCCTCGGCAAAATCTGTATGTGACTATCCCAAGTTAGGTGTCTGTAATACAGTGGTTGTCGTTTGTTGCTGTATACCATATAAGTTTTCCTTTTATTGTTTTGTACATAAATCAGGCCATTCGTTTTCTCGTTTGAAGTGTTTCACATTTGTCATTTTGGGGCATTTCATAGCTTGCTTTGCAATATAAGTTTTCCTCATTTTTGAAGACCGTACGGCGACTTTAATAAAACGTAGTCTGGTCTCCGGTGAAGTATTATCTAATTGGCAATCATTCCACATCTTTTTATTTATATATTAGCTTGCTTTCAGTCTACATTTATGTATTATATAGTACTGTTGTACTTGTACCTTCATATATACTTTATTATCGCTATTATAGAGGAACATGTTCTTTCCCTGAATGATTTTCTTGAGTAAGCTCTTCTGTTGCTGTTGATTAAATGATCAAGATTGAAATTTAAAGTATTAATATCTCGTTAAGTCTCCTTTGATAAGTTTTTTTTACGAGATCTTATGTAACTTCAGTTAATTTCTGTTGCCTCTTACATTTTTGGGCCAATCAATATTTTGTTTCGTTATACCTTATGTTGGTTATTGATTTGAAATGAAATTTAAATCAAAACGATTTTTTGGCAAAACACTATAATTGTACACGTAAAATAATTCAAACGAGAAAACTAACGGCCTGATTCATGTACAAAACAATGAACAAAAACCAAATATGCATTTTTGAATTATGATTCAGTCAGACACAAATCGTTTTTAAACATCAATTTATTTTCAAAAATAACATACATTTGTCATTTCAGGGCCTTTTATTGCTGACTATGCGGTATGGGTTTTGTTCAATGTTGAAGGCCGTACGGTGACCTATAGTTGATAACTTTTATGTCATTTGGTCTCTGGAGAGTTGTCTCATTGGCAATCATACCACTGTGTGACATCTTTTTTCTATAGTTACGACCTTTGAACACGCCTGGTGATGATTAATCTATATGTTTGACAGGCTAAAATGTATGCATAATTTGTATATTTGGATTGTTTAAAACTGTTTTTATGGCTTTTAAAAGCTAAACGTAGGTGTATAATTAAAGATTTTTTGCATCTTATATACTTGTTTATACTCAATTGGTAGTATGAAGCTACGAGATATTGTAATTTTTGCGCATTTAACAAAACAGCCGATTTCAGTAGGTGCAAATACTTTTGGGTTTTTAAGATGCATTAGCATAAATTCAACTGAAAAAAAACATGCACGAAAAGATAAAATATTGATCTTAAAAAGCTTTAATTTGCATCTCTGCCCCCGGCAACAGTATTTTTTTTGGGGGGGGGGGGGGGGGGGGGGGGGGAGTCTAAAAATGGGCAATTATCGTATTGTAAAGAGACAGTCGAGTACACATTTTACGTTCAAGGCGTGTTTGAGTTGATTGTTTTTTTCCTGAAAACGTATAAAATAAAAATAAAATGTTTGATATATCTGGCTTTAGATTAGATTTTTTCTTTATATTAAGGCTACATGTTAATATAATAATACTGAGAATTCACAGTACTTATAAAAAAAATGAAACAAATGGATGAAGTGAAATACCTTTGTAACGAGTCATTACTACAGAGAAGGTGTGTTTGAAACACAAAAATTAAAAGCTTCGTGCTATTACAAATATTTAACTAAAAGTGTATTTCTTAGTCTGGTGTTTTTTTTTTCGTTCACTCATTTTTCACTCATTTTCAATTAAAATGTAGGCATATTTTATTTTTATTCAGGAAATATATTTAAAAGTAGAAAATTAGGACACATCGTTCACTTACTCCCCCTTAATTCTTTATCAAAAATCCTTGACAATAGACTTGACTTTTGGATCTTTAAAATGCATAACTTAAAAAAATCTTATTTTGTGTGTGTTATCTAGGTTATCTAGTCTTCATTTTCTGACAAATTCAAGTCTGCCCTTCCATGAAATATTTAAATATTTTTTTTAATGTTTTATTGAACTTTCGAAAATTCCCCCTGACAGCCGATCAGACAATATTATTTTATGTTGACCAGAGGCTTAAAGGTACAGCAAATGATGCTTACTAGCTAACAGATACATATTTCTGTTAAAGTACAACTTTTAAATCTTACGGGAACCCCCCTTCCCCTCTTGGAAAATGTTTTATGGTAAAATTATCAACTGCAGTAATAAAATCGTTCTTGATCATTTGCATCAAATTATTTTTATCAACAATTTTAGAATTTAAAAACTATTCCAAGCTTAATAACTTTCACCGTGACCTCCCTCTTCCTTATTCCAAAAAAAACCCCGCAATATTATTGTCATCCTTTTGGTAAACACTAAATTGTTACAAAGAAATCGGATTTTAGCAGCTGAGGACACATGATTCTTACGCGCAGAAACAAGGCTGAGATTCATTTGGTTGAATAAAAAGAAAAGTATCTACAGTATCGTACAAATTTGTCAGAGAAACAATATCCAGGATGCTTAGGCTACACTAAATGTATTATCTAAACTCATCTAAGAAATGTTCAGACTCACCTGATAGTTTGCCGTGATCAACTTAGGTTGTGCTTGATTTTCATATGATGAAGACATAATCTTTCAATCAGTTTAATTGAGGTTTGGAGCTGGCATGGGAGTAACTGTTAGTAGTCCCTTGTTAATTTATGTATCATTGTCATTTTGCTTAGTTTCTTTAGTTACCTATTCTGATACGGACTCGGACTTCTTTTGAGCTGAGTTTTACTGTGCGTATTGCTGTGTGTTTGTTTATTCTACATTGGCTAGAGGTATAAGGGGAGGGTTGAGATCTCACAAAGCATGTCTAACCTCGTCGCATTTTTGCGCCTGTCCCAAGTCAGGAGCCTCTTGCCTTTGTTAGTCTTGTATATTTTTTAATTTTCATCTGAGTTCATTTATATGCTATGGAGTTTAGTGTGACGTCCATTTTCATTGAAGTGGTACACATTTTATTTAGGGACCAGCTGAAGCCCGCCTCCGGGTTCGGGATTTTCTCGCTGTGTTGAAGACCCATTGGTGTCCGTCGGCTGTTTTCTGCTCTTTGGTCGGGTTATTGTCTCTGACACATTCCACATTTCTATTCTCAATTTTATTAGAAAAAAAGTCCTTTATTCTATATTTATGCTCTCCATTTTTATGCAAAACCTTTTACATTTTGATTTTTTCGGGTCATTGTTGAAGGTCGTACGGTGACGTATAGTTGTAAACACCTAGTTCATTTGGTTTCTGATGGAAATTTGTCCATTGGCAAACATACCAGATAATATTTTATATAGGTATTGGATATTTTACACCGTATTTTGATGGTCATGCATAAGGATCGTAATCCCGCAAATCGTATGCCTAATTTCTTATCTCAAAAGGGGGCAAGAGGGGTTCAATTAACAGGTCAATATTTTTTTTTTATTTTGCTCAAATCAGAATACAGTAAATTTAAAATTTTGATAACCGATAACAGCATTTTAAATCATCTTAAATGAGAGAACAGTGAATTAAAAAATCAAAAAACAGTAAACAGGGGTATTTTTTTTTCTTTCATAATAACAGTTAACAACAATGTCAATTTTAAGAAAAAAGATAACAGCTAATTAGTCAATAACAGTTAACAGCACATATATCTTCAAAATAACAGTTAACAAAAGTTTAAAAATGCCAAAACACCTCAACAGAATGATCTTGCACCCCCTCTCAAAAATCAAATAAAAAAAACAGACTCAACTTGGCTCATATGAAATATCAACCAAATATATGCTAGGTATATTTTCTATCAATTATACAAATTTTCTGCATCAATGATCTTGAATATTTGCCACTTTTTACTAAAATATAAAGGCACAGAACCAGGACATAGGTGCACAGAACCAGGACCGTTTTTCTAATCACCAGCACATCGTCAGGACAATTTCGTTTGGCGAATTTGCACGACTTTTTCAATAAAAAATCGTTGTAATATTCCTCGCATGGTACTTAGGAAGTATCAAAGAAAAATTAAGCAACAGAACGATCATTGTTTAATGGCCGTTCTGGTACAATGTAAACAAACCCACCAGCACAGAATCAGGACCCACCAGCACCAGTCAGGACCGAATCACCAGCACAGAACATTCTCTCGCAGGACAACCTTACCCACCGTGATTACTGTCACCAGTAAACAAAGACTATAGATGAGATCAGAATCTTACACCATGTTTGAAAATTCCATTGAAAATTATTTTTTTTATAAATCAGCATGTTGGGTTGTATATAATGAAAGTGCCGATATTGAGATAAAGTTTTGAGGTAGCTCATAGATGGAATTTCTACTTCTGTTTGTTATTTAGGCGTCTCACCACCAAATTTACCTATCAGTCTTAAGAAAATATATATTAACGTAGCTATACTCTGACAAAACATTTCTGTTTACTTAAACCAGCAAATAAATGTACATGAATGAAACTTTTGTTGAAAAAAATAATATTTTTGGATCATTTTGATCCCCAATATACCATTCCATAAATTTGCATTACAATTTAAGGGTAGATCTGCTACATGGTATACTTGGTGAAGATTATTATTTTCAGAAAACCATAGTGCTATTTTCAGTAGTAGATGACTTTAAGAATGTCATGTAACACTACAAAATTTTAAACATTGGTTGAAAATTGGCTTATAAAATGGTGATATATGTACAATTCAGGATTTACATGGTTCTTATGAAGTTAAATTTGTTGTTTTTTGTGCCTTGCATGGATCTGATGAGTAAAACCTTTTCATCTTTATCATTTTTGAAGGCTGTACAGTGACCTATAATTGCTGCAATCCACATCATTTGGAGTCTGTAGGATAGTTGTATTATTGGCAATCATACCAATTCAGTTTATTTATAGTAAATACAGAAAACTTATAAAGGTGTGCGAAATCAACATGACTGATTGATTGATTGTTAACGTCCAGAGGCAATCACTTCATGCAAATTCAGGATGATAGCAAAACCAATAGGAAGGTTCAGCCAGGTATGCTGACATGTATGAAAGGCTGGAAATTTAGATTGCCACTAGAGGGTATGGAAGATAATGACAGAAGGACTCTCACGAATTTGTTGCAAGGGTTCTTTAACGTGCAAAAAGTGTAGCACCTGATAATGACACATGGCATCGGATTTAACATCCCCATTCAGACCTGACGTGGCTGTGATTTGCATATCCCACATACAGCCAGACCGGAGCTAATTTAAAAGTGGTTTTCTAAATAAAGTGCAATATGATGAGTTGTCTCATTGGCACTCATACCACATCTTCTTATTTATGTTTGCGTCATTTCGAAGGACTCGCTGTTACTTTGAGATGTAGAACAGCCTTAAATGTGCTGTTTCTTGCTTTTGATTATTTCATTTTCATGTACTATTTTTGGTCCGCAATTAAAACGTAATTTTCTTTTTTTTTTTCATGATAAGAATTTTGGTTAACATTATTTAAAGCCGTCTTAAAAGCATTGAAATATCTTGTCTATTAATTTAAGCCGACAGATTATATTCCCACATTCTCTCATTTAACATACATTATTTCTTGGTTGTCCTACACTGTTTCTAGGTAGGTTTTAAAGAGTAACTTCTAGTTGTCTTTGATGGCGTTAAGGTAAAGAGATACACCAAGCTAGTATGATCATTATTCTGTTATCTATGTAATATTTTATAGTAAAATTGATTTTTTTCCATCGTAATTTTTTTTACCATGATGCTACCTGTTCTTATTCGACTTATGATGTTTGATTGTCCCCCAAGTATCATTCATCTCTTTTATTCAATCCTTTAAAGGGGGACATTCATCTCTTTTATTCAATCCTTAAAGGGCTTTACATCTTTAATTGAATAATAGGTGGTAACAAATGGCTTGTCTAACTTTGTATAATTTCTGTAGTGAAGACCGTCAAGAGTCACCATCTTATCAGTCTTTAAATTGTTAAGCCTCTTTATGCTCATCTCCTCGACTAACATTGATGTCATCTAAACACATATTTAAGTTTGAATAAGTATCGCTTTTGAGAGTCCCATATACGAATAAACACAGTAGTAAAACTACTGATTTTAAACTTCAACTTGATCATCTGTA